TTGATTAAAGACTGGTATGCAAAACTATTAGAAGAAGATCTTAGTGTTGCACAGATAAGGGAATGGCTTTGAGGGCTTTATCCCAGAAGTGGGGAGGAAAGAGGCATCCAGTGGCATTTTTGTCTAAACTGTTAGACTCTGTCAAGGGTTACCAGACAGTGTTCAAGCGGTGGTGACTATGGCATTGTTAATGAGAGAAAGCAGAACCTTGACTTTTGAAGGAACCCTTGTGCCCCACTTCATGTGAAGGCCATCTTGAACAACAACTACTACAACAACAAAAACAACAACAACAAATGCCAGTTGATGGCTGACAGATTCAAGGATTTTGAAGTATGAGAGTGTGCCTATGGAACAAAATGATTTAGCATTAACCACTGATGTTAGGTTGCGTCCCTCTCAGTTTTAAGAGGAGATTTAGAAGGACGATTGGATGTTGGTGCTGAGAAGAGGTTAATTTGTTTATAGATGGGAAGAGAATGTGGTAGAAGGGAAGCCAAGGAATCTTGGAAGAAGCTAGAAAATTATGTCTTAACTCAAGTTGAATATTCCTTTGAAGTCGGAGGCAATAATTTTGCTGACTTGGAAGCAGGGATGGCAGTGGCAGAATGAACTGTTTAATGTTCTGAGAAGAAGGAGTTAGAGAAAGTGGGAGCAGTAGAAAGTGGACGAGGTAAATGGGTAGCACCTGATGGAGGGGAAATGTTGATTTTTGGGAAGACTATATTGGGGTGGTCATTGGGGGACTAAGGCATGATGTGATTTGTTTTTGAAAGCTTATGGAAACAAATATGTGACAAATGTACATTTTGTTTATGTACACATAAACAAATATGTGACAAATGTATAGTATGTAAAAGAGTTAATAAACAAGTTCTACAACAGAAAGAAAATGGAGAATGACATTTAGTGTGAGACCATTTCAATGCATTCAAGTTGATTTTAGTGAACTACTTCAGGTGAGGAGACTTAAATATTTATTGGTGAGAGCGGCTCACTTGACTGGATGAGTTGAAGCTTATCCAGCCATGAGGGCCACTGCATTAGTAGTCACCAGAAGTATATTGGAACAGATAATACCTAAGTATGGAATAATAGCTGTTATATACAGCAACCAAGTGACTTGTTTTACTTCAAAAGGGCTTCAATCGATCATGGAGGCAGTGGCAATTTAGTATTACA